ATTTCACTATCAAGTAATATGCACTGGTTTTTCTGAGCTTTTTGAGTATCGGTTTAATAATGTTTTATTGAAAGATTTAGTTTTGGTTCTTAGCCTTAACATAATCTTATTTGCTAAGGCCGCTTAGCTGCGCTGCCGGTTACGCCAACAACGGAGCGGCTGTACTCTATATGTAGGCTGACCAGCTCAATTCATATTGCCTTTATTTATATTAATCATTTTTATTATTAATTATTATTAACTTTCTATACCACTCTTGTATGGTCCACCTTAATATTTGTCCACCCTTATGGGCCCGAAAGCTGAGCCAGCATATTGTGCCATTCTGGGCCGCGGCTTTGTCTCATTGGTGGACAGCGATCGTACGACTCCTGAAAATTGTACATGGTCAGCGGTCTGCCACGGGCATCCGGTCATTCATGAGCTTTTGTTAATTCTTAAGCTGCAGTTTCGATATATATTGAATAAAGCGAAAATCACTTAAACAAACTCTGGCTCTGCCGTTATACTTATTATTTGATAAATTGGTTATTGTGCCATAGCAACCGAGATAGTATTTTCTATCATAAACTTCGTAAGAAGGAAGAAAATCGAAGCGACCACCCGACTCCTCAGTAGCTACTAGCCTTGGTAGTTACCGCGGCCCAACCGTGACGTCTCCGACAGCGGCGAGGGACTACATCTAATTAATAATTTGTATATGTGCATGAGCTATAAGCGTGGGAACGCTGACTTATCATTGTTTATAAGTGGGTGGTCATATTTCACGCTCACTTGACTTGGGTTTGCATATGTTCAGCGACAAAGTATTGCTGGTATGTTTATGCCAACTTCTTAGTACAGTGTACTCCCAATATTTCTTATAGTTAAAATTGTCTTTATCTTTTAAGTCATATCTTCTAATATATAAAATTCTCGTGTCACAGTTTTCGTTCCCATACTCCTCCGAAACGGCTTGACCGACTTTGATGAAATTTTTTGTGCTTATCCGGTATCTATGAGATTTGGCCAACATCTATTTTTCATCCCCCTAAATGTTAGGGGTAGTCCACATATATCTATTTTTTTTGCGTTTCCCCGTGCCCCTACTACTGCGCCCTCTACAGGCAAATCAAAGCATTTCCTGTCAAACATTAAAAACATATTGAAAGAAGAAATTGGAGATAAAAATTTTATTTTTTGTTCAGGTTCAGTAAGAAACGAAGTCATGCCACCAAAAAAGTCGAGATTGGGTCGTTGTATTCGCAATACAGAAGCAAAAAGACGTAAGATTACGAATATGACTGACGAAGAACGGGCCTCCTTCCGAGAGACTGAGCGGCAGAGAGCAATGCAAATGCACATAGAGGAATCAGCAGAAAGACGAGCAGATAGGCTTGAGAGAAAACGATTGAGAGTTAGGCAGTCGCGTTCTGCAGCAGTCGATTTGATTCACTCTCAAAATAATGAACGCGACAGGGCAAGGGTAGCTGAAGCGCGTTTACAGCTTGCAGCAGATCAAAACCTGTAATTTAGTTACATCGGAAGGAAGAACTTATCCAAAAAGTGTTCCCCGATATCCGAATAAATTATAGGAATCACGATTGGCTCAGTGGACGAGCGATTCTCGCTGCCAAGAACAAAGATGTCATGTAATCCAAAAAAGCATAGAAACTGACGAAATTACATATAAGTCGATAGATACCGTTGTGGAGGCAGAGGAAGCAGTTAATTACCCTACCGAATTTCTAAACTCACTTGATCTGCCTGGAATGCCACCACACATATTGAAATTAAAAATAGGTGTGCCGATTATCATGCTCCGGAATATAAATCAGCCGAAACTCTGCAACGGTACGCGACTCGCAGTCAAGAAATTGATGAACAACATAGTAGAAGCAACGATCATAACTGGTCCTTTCAAAGGTGAAGATGTCCTCATTCCTAGGATTCCTATGATCCCGACAGATACACCGTTGCAGTTCAAGAGATTGCAGTTTCCCATTCGTTTGGCGTTTGCAATGACCATAAATAAAGCTCAAGGTCAATCTCTGGAGTTGTGTGGTCTGGATTTGGATGAAGATTGTTTTTCACACGGACAATTATATGTTGCGTGTTCACGAGTCGGAAAACCAAAAAGTCTTTATATTTACGCGGAGAATGGAGAAACAAAGAATATTGTATACCAACAAGTATTACAGAATTAAATTAATTTGAAAATGATTATTTTTTGTTTGACTTATTTCTTATGCGTTCATTCACAATATGCCACAGAGAAACGTGGCAGTCCAACGGTCAACGTGTCTATTTCACAGAAAAAAATGTGCAAGAAAGAGTCCTGAATCGGCCAGCGACAACTCTGACTGCCTTCTTCACCTTATGCTAGGAAGATGATTTTGCCAGAACCTTGATGTATTCAGAAGTGCCCTCTTAACCATAATATGCCACAGAGAAACGTGGCAGGGTACAGCTAGTAACTCTTTATTTTTATGTATATGTAATCGAGCACAGTTCTTGCTCTTTTGTATGCTACTTATAATCTATACTTGCCTTCTCTAGCGTAATCATCTATATTATATATAGGTTCTATATTTTTTATGCTATTAAATTACTGTGGTAAATTACTAGTCCGTCCAAATACTAACTCATATGGCCAACAATTATGTGCCATAGAAGGGTTGTGTTGAAACAGTATACAAAGTGTTGGAGCCACACGTCCCAATCAGTTTTGTCAACCGATATGTATGAACGTATATATTCATTGAAGGTTCTATGTCTCAATTGTTCCAACTGTCTGCTGGTAGTGTGCTGTAGATGTTATATTGTTCATTTTCAAGTATTTGCACAAGTCGTTAATTATTGAATTTTTATATTCTGTTTCCATGTTGTAACGGAACTGCCTTTCCATGGGCAACGCCAGGCTAGCTCAGTAGGCCCAGGGCTGGGTCCGACACAATGCCCGCAGTTCGCACAATTAAAAATAACGACTTAATCGGACGTCTCGGACTTAAATACAAGTGTCATCACTAAACATCACAAAAGGTAAAAAACAACAAAAATACGCTGCTGGGTCGAATTTGTGGCTTGGTTGGTTCCGCCACGGCGCTCCCACCCATCCAGTGATGCCTCCTCCACATTTCGGGGCATCACCCATCTCCGGCGGGCCGGAGCTTACTCCAGGCGGTCTGGCGACCGGCCCATCTCCCTCAGGTAAAAACTTACTCCATTTTCATTTCAAGCTTTAATGACTATTGATTTTTTTTTTTTTTGCATCTTAAATTTAACAAAGCAATAAATATAGTTATAAGGCGGCAACTCGTCCACGGCGAGAACGTGGCCTCAGCCAGGGATGCGCTTGCGCCAAGGCTGCCTTTTATCGGGGACCGACAACGTTTGCGGAGGAGAAGCTTTTCGGCCAAATTGGCCACGATTGGCTAACAAGAAATTTTCCCTCACTTTCACCTAGTATCCCTGCTGGAGCTCCAAGACAAATAGACTAGGGTCGGGGTTCAAAAAAAAAAAAAAGAGATCTTTCTAATGGCTTCTTCACCGTTCCCCTATTGGTTGCAGCGCATGGGTTGCATCAATCCCGGACCCAGGATACGATCAATCCGGAGGGCGAGACAAACACACTAATACCTTACACCTAACAATAACAAACTAAATTAATTTTTTATTCCAGCTCGCTCTGGTTTGGTGCCGGGTAGTAAGGGCTACCGGCAGGTCGGCGGCAGCTGCCTGGCCAGAAACTAATAGGCAATCCGCCCCTTATATCGTCCCATCCGGAACGGACTCACCGGATGGTAGCAGCAGAAGGGAAGCAGCTCCTGCAGTAGCTCGGCCGGTTGCTCTGGGTGGCGGTCCTGTGCTGCGGCGGCGGCTCGGCGGATCGTCTTTCGGCTGCGGTGGCGGCGACGGCTCCGACGTTTGCTCTGGCCGGTGGACTTGGGTTGCGGCAGCTCTGGCCGGTGGACTTTGGTTGCGACAGCTCTGGCCGGTGGTTGTTCTGGCCGCGGCGGCGGCGACGGCTCCGACGTTTGCGTGGGCCGGCGGACTTGACTGCGCCGGTCACTCTGGCCTGCGGTCCTGGGTTGCGGCAGCTCTGGCCGGTGGTCGTTTTGGCCGCGGCGGATTCAGCGACGCCGTGACCAGCAGTTTTGGCGGATTCGGCGACGCGCTGGCCAGCAGCTTTGGCGGCCAGCCATTTTAAGACATCGGGCTTAAAAATATCTCATAACTTCTGGATTCTACAGCCATTAGAAGTGAGCGCTGCCGGTATACCTTAGAGTACTTTCTTTATCTTCTTTTGTGTTTTTCTCAAAACTACGTTTTTTAAAACGGTGTACATGATTTCTCAAAAACCGCTAGAGCTCTATGGCATGACGTATCGATTTCGATATCGTTTTTTTTTAAAGTTATACATTTTTAAAACAAAAATTTCGTAAAAATAAATTTTTTTTCAAAGTGCTCCCATTTGCTCAAAATTTTTTTTCTAAAAACGGGTACGTCATGCTATAGCCATACCTTTACAGTTTATAAAAAAAAATTTTGTTTTTGAATTTCGGATAACAAATGTGGTGTGCAGCATGTACACCATCCGACCACTCCCTAAAAAAAAATCGTGTTTTGACTGGCTATATCTCCGCCGTTCGTAAATATTTTTTTTCTTTCAGTAAGTATTTTTTAGTTTAACATTTGTACATGGATATACTAATAAATACAAAGTTATATTCTTAACAACTTCGTCAAAATTAATTTTTGAAAAACCCTCCAATTTTCATGCGTTCAGGGTGGTCTGCCTCCTTAAGTGCAACAACATGTTCGTTGTATTATTTATGCATAACACTACTAAAGAACAAATGTTAGAGGCGTTAAATAAATAGAGTCTTCATTGAACATTGACCTTTTTATTTTTAAAGCCACAAGTTTCACATTTTGTGTAAATTGCTTTTAATAGCCGTTACACACAACTAGCAGTCAATAAAAAAATATCAATTAAATGTTATGATCGTTTTACTTACTTTGGCATTTTATCAGCTTCCAAAAGCTGTAATTTGTAATAAGAATTTTTATTTCGCTGAATATCAGTCAAGCCGAGTACTACATTGTATTTATCTTTTCCGCAAACGTATACATGAGCGATATCCTCAAGGCCACTATCAGGATCCACAGCTATCCCATCCTTAACTTTTAACGTTTTTGATGTGGGCACAGATTTTGTATATATACTTTTGTACTTCGAGCTCTTTGGATCATCCAGAGATTTTTTTAGAAGGGGATCAGTACCCCAATTACACAAGCTCATACTATTTATATAATTAATAGCTCCGTCAGGGTCACTTTCTACAAAATCCAAATATTCTAAGGGAACAATATGTATTCCCAGTTTTTTCGCAGACTCCATACGGGCAGATTTTTTTTCTACTTCTGATTCAGTGGATAATATTGCAATGGTTGTATTCGATATTTTTTTTTCACATTGGCCGCCTAACTTTTCTATTCTTCTTTTTAATTCATTCTCCATATTTTTCATACCGATAAGGGAAAACTTTAAATTATACAATGGAGGCGTTTTACGAATAATTTTTGGTCTGGAATGAAATAGAAATAAATAAGCTTAATAGGAAAGAATAACATACAAGTACAACATTTATAAAGCTTTAACAACCTTTGACTTCATTCGCCAAAGATTATATACCATTGTAGGTTGCAATTCGATAATTAATAAATAATACAACATTAATAATGAATATTTATATAAAAACCAACGAACTTTTGCCTTTATTCATTCCACTCATCTATTAAACAATCAAGTGTTCATCATCATACCTTTTTCGCGTTAATTTTTCCAAACTACTACTTACATAAAATACGAATCAAAAATCTTGAAGCTCTAATATGGCCCCAGGGCCTCCCAAACTAGGCGACAACCGGTTAGCACCACTTGCCATCAGCCCCCCATTGAAAATAAGAAGACAACTCCAAAAACTGAACTGTGTGAACTGTGTGTATATGCCCTGCAGTACCGCGTGTCATCAATAGCCACTGTCATCAACCCGTCATCAACGCGCCGACTGCGATTTCTATAGAGTCGACGCTCTGCCGGCTGCGACTTCTATAAAGTCGACGCTCTGCCGACTGCGACTTGTACGGAGCCTACGCTCTAATGCTGCCATGGTGATTGCCTATCTCACTGCCTCACTCACTCTTCAAACGAGTGAGATGAGCCAAAAGCAAATAAGTTAACAATTAAAATCGAACCAACTGTTTCGCACCCTAGAAATTTAGCATTTGTATGTGTATAATATATTATCATTAACAATTATAATGATGGTATTAGAAATAAATATTCTTTAAATATAAAACGCAAATGAAAAAATAATTGCAAATCAAACAAAATTGTTTGAGTTGCAATAACATTTTAAGTAACTTGTTGCCCCGTCGGATATATCCTTTATACCCTGTTTACAAGGAAGCAAAACACTCGGACACAAGATAGCCAAACGGGACTTTGTGAAACGAAACGAACAATAAGAGAAAAAAAACGGACTTGAGGATCCGTTTTTCCGGATCGTGGTTCGTTTTGTTGTTGGAGGCACGGTCCTTTTTTTTCTATTGCTTATTCGTGTTTTCACTTGCAGTTAAACAGTGAGCTAAGTGAGAAGTGAGCGGACTGCGCACTGCGCACGCCAAATTAAAAAAAAAAATGTTACATACATATATAAATGTTATGTTTAGTTTTCAATAATTGAAATTATATATCAGGTGAGTTTTTATGTAAAGATTTAAAAAAAAGTTTACTTTCGTATCAATTCTGTCTTCTATTTTGAGTACATCTTCCCGTCCTCCCACTTTGTGTCTGCATGCAGCTATTGTGATACATCGATGGTGCGAAGTGTAAGAAAAGGCTTCGAGACCATAAGAAGTTCTACTCTGCACTCTTAGGTAATTATGTATTTTTTTTTAGATTTTTATATCAATTTATTTTCCATATTTTCCTTTTCAGATGCAATAAGTCAAGTTGATGCAACGGAGCCACCTGCCAACCGTTTAACTAAAAACCTTCCTTGCGCAAAAAATTTGGAGGCGCAACATAAAAAAAGGAAAAGGGATGAAGACGTGTTAGAATGTGGTCCGAGCGTTTTTCAATACATTAATATTTAATTTTTAATGTTAATTATTATAATTATTATTATTGTATTATTATTTTTTAAAATTTATTTTGTATTATTATAAGAAATATTTTTAATTTGATTATTTGTATTATTTTATGTATAATTTTAATTTTATTATGTTAGTTTTTAAGAGGATATAATAAAAGTGAATGAATTGAAATATGAAATCCCTTATTTATGTTTTTAATTAATTTATTATTGATGACACATCGATGAATTGATGATGAAACATCGTTGAATTGTTGATGAATCATCGATCAATTTTTGATGAAACATCGATGAATTGATGACACATCAATGTTTCATCGATGTGTTATCAACAAAAAATCGATGTATTGATGATGAAACATCGATGAATTGATGATGAAACATCGATGAATTGTTGATGAAACATCGATGTGTCATTAACAATACATCGATGAATTGATGATGAATCATCGATTTATTGTTGATGAATTTCTATTGATGACAGCCTAGGACATGCCCATGTTAAATTCATCAACAGTTTGTATGGGCTGTCATCGATGAATCATCAACAGCACCCCCTTCGCTGTTGATGAATTACTGATGACAGGTACTGCAGGGTGTGTACAAGCGCTCGCACGTTTGTATGCGTGAGTAAATTTCTGCATGCAGAGTCTTTTTCATAGATTTTGGACGGCCACAGCTAGTGCGCCGTGGCGGCGGCTCACTTGCTTATGACGTCACAGCAATACTTAGCGACTAGCGCTTGTGAGGCAAATTATTTAAGTTATCTAACTATAATTACTACTTATTTTAATTTAACAGCACCCCCTTGACTGTTGATGAAACGTTGATGAATTACTGATGACTGCAGGGTATTTTTAAAATTATTATTGTGACATAAAAACGTACAGACTTTAAATTAAATATTGGAATTAAACGAAGTTTTAATATTTTTTGCCTTACTTATAAAAATAAAATAAATAAAAGTAAAGAAAATAAGAAAGGAAGCTAACTTCGGCACGCCGAAGTTTATATACCCTTGCAGATAGAACTTCTATGAATTGGAATCCATAGAATATAAATTATATATATTTATGTTAAAAAAAATGAAGTAATACCTGCTTTCATTTCATTCACCTATACATATTATATTTGCAGTTTTACATTCACAGATTTTTAATTTGCTCTACATCTAACGATCGTTTGTATGGCACCTACATATATGATATAATCTTTTGAAAACTGAAAATGTTATAATTTTAAATTGAATTAATTTCTCTATCGTTCCTATGGGAGCTATTCGATATACATAGTAGTCCGATTTTCATAAAATTATACACAAAATTGAAGAATAATATGAAATGGCAATATCTCAAATTTGATTAAATTCTTTTGAAAACTATAAATGTTATAGTTTTTTTTTTTTGTAAAAATTTTTCGATCATTCCTATAGCAGCTATATGATATAGTCGTCCGATCCGGCCCGTTCCGACATATATACAAGTGAGGGTATATAACTAACTAACAACGAAGTTTCATGCAGAATGCTTAAAAACTGAGAGACTAGTTTGCGTAGAAACGGACAGACGAACAGACGGACATGGCTAGATCGACTCGGCTGTTGATCCTGATCAAGAATATATATACTTTATGTAGTCGGAGGTGCCTCCTTCACTGCGTTGCAAACTTCTGACTGAAATTATAATACTTTGTAAGGGTATAAAAAGGAACAATATAAAGGGACTTAAGCACTAAAAAAATGTAAACAAACTAAAATCAAAATAAACAAACACATCGATATGCACATGTATACATCATCTGTTTTTGCTGCCATTCTCGTCCTCCTCTCTACATAACAAGCGGTCAGCAGCCCAAAATATAAAATTTTATTTTTTCGTCGTTGCGAACAGAAGCACACACATATTCACGCACACATACGCACTTGTTTGATCTGTGTTTACTCATACATGCAAACGCATTCTTTATTTAGAACTTTATGCTCTCAACTTTGTGAGAGCAGGGAGAGCGCCATTGCCGTTTGAATAAAAAAATTAGCCCCATATTGCAAAACGAATATATGGTCGTGAGGCATCTTGTAAATTGCATAGCCTTTGGTCCAACCAAACCCGGGTAGAGTGGTTAAGTTCAAATCAAATATTATCTATCTCCTGCATCATTTGCACTATTATGAAGAAGTCATGCTGAACTTCCTACATAAATAATTCAAATACCCAAAAACATAATAATCTATATATATAAAAATGCTCTGTTCGTGTCTACATCCTTCATAGACTTGAAAAGTTCTGAACCGTTTAAGCCCAAATTTTTACACAACATGCGTTGAGGTTCCAGCTCGGTTACTGACTACTTTTTATGTTGATAGTTTATCTGCGGTTGCAAATATATCAATTTTTTTAGCGTTTCCCTGTGCCCCTACTGCTGCGCCCTCTACAGGCAGCCAGCTGAATCAAAGCATTTCCTGTCAAACATTCAAAACATATTGAAAGAAGAAAGTTGAAAAGTTCTGAACCGTTTAAGCCCAAATTTTTAGACAACATGCGTTGAGGTTCCAGCTCGGTTATTGTCTACTTTTAATGTTGATAGCTTATCTGCATTTGCGAATATATCATTTTTTTCGCGTTTCCCCGTGCCCCTACTTCTGCGCCCTCTACAGGCAGCCAGCTGAATCAAAGCATTTAATGTCAAACATTCAAAAAAAATTTAAATAAGGAATTGGAGAAAAAATTTTATTTTTTTGTTCAGATTCAGTAAGTAAGTAAGTAACGAGGAATCAGCAGAAAGACGAGCAGATAGGCTTGAGAGAAAACAATTGAGAGTTAGGCAGTCGCGTTCTGCAGCAATCGATTTGATTCACTCTCAAAATAATGAACGCGACGGGGTAAGGGTAGCTGAAGCGCGTTTACAGCTTGCAGAAGATCAAAACCTGCAATACAATCGTCTTGCATTCAGATATAATCCAACTATTGATTACAGCTCGAATCGAATGTCGTTATTGGACGAATGCATCAGGTCTGCATATACCGTCAGGCTCTCAAATTCAAAAACGAACCAAAAGGATTGTGTTGCGCTTCCGGGAAAGTGGAATTGCCTCAACTTGAAGCACCACCAGAGCCCCTGCACTCTCTATTCGCTGGATCTACTGCAGAATCGAAGCATTTCCTGTCGAACATTAGGAAATACAACTCTTGCTTTCAAATGACGTCATTTGGTGCGGAAATTATAACTGCACAATTCATGCCAACTTTTAAAATCAAAGGACAAATCTATCATAAAGCCGGTTCCCTGCTTCCGTTCCCAGACAGCGAACACAAATTTCTTCTTCTTGGTGATGATGGAAATGAAGTAGATGCACGTTATGGAATCAATACCTAAATGAAGAGGCACATTATTTCGCAGCTACAGAAGCTTTTTCACGAACGGAACAATTT